TGCAGGACGGCAAGTCAATAATGTTGGAAGATGTGGACGGCCAATTGGATTTTCCAAACAGCAGTTAAAGGTCTTCCAAGGGTGGAGGAAGTAAAGCTACAACTGAAATTTTCTAACTGCAGTCTTGGGAGGAAGAGGGATCCACGTTGTCAGGAGTTTGAAGAAAATTTAGTGGAGGAAATTCCACGTGAGGGTCTTGAGAGATTTCAGCCAGCCAAGGACTATGGGAGATATTTAATTCCCAAAGTAAAAGAATGAGTTTTGGAAAGATGTAGAGGTGAACACAGTAAGGGGAATTTCGGCCAGGTTCATATGAGGGGGTCTTGAGTACTTTCCAAGTGTGGCTAGGGGGAATAGGAAATAAATCTCTAGGATTTATTATAAGGTGGGGCCGGCGGCTTGATGATGAGGGAGGAGATTGAGGAGACATTCAATGCTTACTTAAATTAAGAAATTAAATTTGGAATGAAAGATTTCGTCCAATTTAATTTGAAATTTAAATAGGCTATAATTAGGAAGTTACCAAAAAATAGGATTATAATTTAGGTAACTATTTAAATTCAAATAGATTTGAATTTACTCATGAATAGAGTTACCTAAAATATAAAAGACTATTCTAAGAAAGGTTTCAATTAATTCCTCATGAATTTGAAATTCAAAGGGGTCTATATTTAGAAACTTTCCTAAAATAGTTTTCTTAAATAAGGAAAGAAAATCTCAAACTTAAAATATTTGAAATTTGAAATTGGATCTTTCCAAATCAAGATCATTTATTTATGGAAAGTATTCAAATAAAGATTTGAATTTTGGAGGGAGGGGAAAGAAGTTGAGGCCGGCGGCTATGGTGGGTGGCCATGGGAGGGGTGAGGGGAAAAGAGGTTGGGTGAAGGTGGAAGGGAGTTAGGTCTAACCAATGGAGAGGGGGAGTTGTGTGATGGCCGGCGACTTAAGCCAATGGGGAGGAGCTCTAGGCCGGCAGCTAGTTGAGGGAGGAAAGAGGGGAGAAAAAAAAATAGAGAAGGTAGAACCACGAATCCGGCCTTCTCCAAGGTTGGTGGGTGATCCGATTTTCACTCTCCTAAGGGTTTCTCCAAAGTTCTCTCCAAGAACTCTTAAACGCTCTCAAAACACACAAGTGCAAGAAGTTTCTTTTTCATAATAATCATTCATTGATTTTTCAAAGAGAACATAGGGCTATAAATAGCCAAGTACAAGGACTCAAGAAAAGAAAATGACAACAATGCCCTCAGGGCTTATATACGACCTCCCTTTAAGTAAGGGTAAAGACGGAAAAACAATTACAACATAATAATAAAAGACAAATAACAAAATAAAACAAATGCATATAATAACTCAAAAGTCATCGACGCAATCGTGGCCGTGGATCGACGACCCCGCCTTTGATTCATGCTCTGATGTCCTCATCAATTTGCTTTACCAGACATAAATCCTTCATAACAAAATTATTGCTAAGCTTCTTCAACTAGTCAATGTTGTTAGCGTCCTTGCCACTTATTACTATGTCATAGATATAGAATAAAAATATAATAAAATTATAATTATTGAATCTCTTAACAAAACATAATACCCAAAAGTGGCTCTATTATATTAATCTTTGAACATGAATGAGTCAAATTTCTTGTGCCACTATTGGATATCTTGCTTCTAAGCTCTTCTTCGAGCAATAAAAGCAAACTCTCGGGATCATCTTATCCAAGGTCAAGACATTTTGATGCATAAGCCTCACAGTAAAAAAAAAAAATTGTAAAGTCAAGTAAGAAGTAATATATTATCATTTTAACTTATTATTATATTAAATAATGAAGTTAATATTCTAATTTAGCAAGAAGTAACTGATTACACAAAGTAAAAGTGTAATGCAAACATCGATGTGATAAGACATTCAAAAGAGTATGAACTATAATAAAATAATTTAAAATATAATAATTAACAATAAATCTACTCTAAATTGATCTATGAGTTATCTTGCACCTCTATTAGTGGCAAAGATTATGAAGAATCTTTTCCACTATGCTCACTCCCATAATAAGATCGAACATTAATTCTATTATCAATTTGTTTTTTTGCGAATTGTTTTGCAGCATCGCCTTATTTATATATGTTTGGGTCTCTTCTTTCACTTCTTCAAGCACCTTGGCACATAGTGTAATATTTTTGTGCAAGTGAGAAAGGTGTTAATTCATCCTTGTAACACCACCTTAAACATTCTTATCATAATAGTTACACTTTTGATAAAATATGTTTTCTCATTCTATCTAATATCAACTTGTGCACTATGTTTTTTTACAAGATCTTTTTTATGTATGGTAGCACTTTTCCCCTTACCTCTTCAATGTCTCTTAGCTTAGGATGTGTGGCTTCTTTGGGTGAAACAATTAGACTGAGAAATAGAGAGCGCATGGTGGGTTAATAAGAAAAGAGATCTTTTTAAATACCTAATCCCAAAATATTTTAAGGCTCACACCTCGCAATGATTATTATGTTGAGGCGCGCTTCACATTTTTTGAGGCATATGCCTACATAAAAACCTTGAGGAGCATGCTTCAAGGCAAAAAATATCAAATTATGCTAAGACGGTGATGTAGGACTAAATGCGTGGGTTGATTTTCAGTAGGAACTTACACGCTTATTTCAAAGCAATCATAATTATCCAACTTCTAGCAATTTTAAATGAAAGATTGAAAACAATAAAGAGATGAGTATATTAGGCAATCAGTTATACGATAATCGTTAGGAGCACAAAATAATCAATTCAAATCATACTTTGCCATACATGAAAGTTTTCAGAAAATCCCTATGTTAACATTTAGACTAGTCACTATCTAAAATTCCTCACTCAACTCTTTAATAATTGATGAAAATGGAGAAATCTTACATAACCTAACACCACAATTAAGGGAAAACTTAGAAGAGATAAGATTTGGAGGAGAGTTCACCATTCTCAGGAGCCGGAGGTAAGTCACCACTGAACGGGAGGGTTTTGTTGGTCGATAGCGAGTGACGAGAAAGAAGAGGATCATCTATGCGTAGTCTTCAACAGATTGGTCTTTCTCAAAGTTGATGTCGCAAAAATGGTGACCGGAGGATGTCGATGAATCCTTGGTTGTCGAATATGAAACCGTGATCACGTTTTGGATTGACCATTTATGAGTAAGGAGGTTGAGAGAGATTTTGTTTCTTCTTCCTTAGGTGAAGTATCAAGCATAGGAGAAGAGGTGTAGGGAGGAGGGAGGAACTTGGGTGGTCGGCCAAGGCTAGCAGAGGGGCTGAATTTGATTTTAGATTTTGTGGATTAACTAGGGAGGGAAAGTAAATTCAAAAACTTAAATTTAATTTCAGATTTAATTGGTAGGTGGATTGGAGATTTGAAATTTGAATTTCTAATACAAAGAGGGAAAAGGAGGAGGGTAGGAGAGGGCGGTCCTTTTATGAAGGGGTTGATTAGGGTTCCAAAGGGGAAATGGAGATAATGTAGGAGAGAGAGGAGGGAGGGGCTGGCGGTTTGCTTGGGGGATTGGGGCTTTAAGTGGAGTTAATGCTTGCTCTATTTAGAATCCAGACATAGGAAAGGATGTTTTAAATCAAATCCTTTTAAAATTCAAAATAGACGTGATTTAAGGGACTTTTCTAAAACTGGGTTCCTTATTTAGGAAATAAAATTCAAATTCAAATTCAATTGAATATGAATTTAAATATTTTCCAAAGTTAAAAGGAGCTAAATTAGGAAGGGTTTTGAATACTAGATTTTGAAAATTTTAAGCCAAGGAAGGGTGTTGGCCGACAGCTTAGGGAGGAGGATTAGGGTTAGGGCCAGCGGCTAGGGTTAGGATTAGGAATTGAGATTTGGGCTGGCAAATGAAAAAGTACAATAATGGGGTGGGTAATCAAAAAATGAAAAAGGTACAATAATAAATCAAATACAAATAATATCTCAAAAATAGAGTGGTATAATCATGGTCGTAGATCATCGGCCTCTCCTATGGTAAACTCTCCATTGTCGGTTGAGACGGCCTTAAATTGCGCAATTAAATCATGATCTCACATATAACAGGAAATAGGTTTGACTCTTAGGCATACCCAATCCTCTATATATATGGCAGTAGAGCCGATAAGGTTTTTAATGCAACAAATATTTGAATGAACTTATACGATGTGCAAATCACATACCCAATTTTTGGCAAGCAAGAAAAGTTGATAAAATTCAAAACAATCAAATGAAATAAGCAAATGCTCTTATAATGGGTATCATCTATTGGTTATATATAGGTAAAAATTACTCTAGGTTTTCCATGATGTCATGAAGGTAGTGGCCTTGATATTTAAAAAAAAAGTGGCCTTTTTCTTCAATGGATTACAAGGTAAGTGTAAGAAGCAACAAATCTTCCAGTCCTCATGAAGATGCATTTATGAACATTCTATTGTCAGCTATGCAACAACATATTCACTTATGAACTTCAAAAGATAATTAGAAATTCATGCCATGCAATAAATTCAATTGCATGAACCATCCTCATAAAGTGAGATGAACCCAATAAATACAACAATTAATTTTTTTTTTTCTTATTTGACTCTTGTGTTTTTAGAATTTAACTTAGAAGCTAGCAATTAATATTCTAAAAATATCAGAATGTATTTTCTTTGATTGCATCAGGTGCATCCTTTTAGCCATGGCATCGTACAATTGAATTTGAGCTATCCTTGATTTATAATATTTTTATTCATCTCTCACTTGTTCAACAATTTGCCAGGCGGGAAAAAATTGGTTTTGGAGACCTGCTATTATTTTTCTATGTTTTACAGCTGCCATGAAAACAATCCTTAGGCTATTTTATTCCCTATTATGGTATGTTGCATTTAAGATTCATGTTCATTACACATAAATTGCCAATTTCAGTTTTATTGGAGATGTGCAATCTGATTCAATGATTATGAAATTCTTTTATGTTTTCTTGAGCTAATGGTACTGATTGGCATTGCAGTATGTTACTTTAGCTATCTGTGAAGGCTGCGATCCTGTAAATAAGTTATATTATTGCGATTTATCTACAGTTTCTGGTGGCCTTCATGTCTTGAAAGGAAGCAAAGATATGCTTCCATTTGTGAAGTTGGTTGACAATTTTGAAGCACGATACTATCTTGTTGCAAATAATGATACCGAATTCATATTTTTGACAAATAAAGAATCTCCGAGGTATAAATTAGTCCGTGTTGATCTCAATAAACCTGAAATATGGAGTGATGTTTTGCCAGAAGACCAAAACGATGTGCTAGAGTCAGCCTATGCTGTTAATGGGAACCAACTATTGGTATGTTATCTTAGTGATGTGAAGTACATATTGCAAATAAGAGACCTAAAAACTGGTCAATTGCTACATAATTTACCTATAGATATTGGAACAGTTACTGGGATCTCAGGAAAGCGCAAAGATGCTGAGATTTTCATTGGTTTTACTAGCTTTCTTTCACCAGGAATTATTTATAAGTGCAACTTGTCTTCTGAAGCTCCTGAAATGAAAGTATTCCGGGAGGTTTCTGTTCCTGGATTTAATCGAGATGATTTTCATGTTGAACAGGTAAACTTTGTATTATGTTTTTATCTATTATAAACTCACTATTTTGCCATCTTTTTCTATTTGTTGGAATAAAGATCCTCACCAACATTCAGATGTTAAGTCTACTTACTAAGGAAGTAGATAATTTATCTCTTTCGTTAATTGTTTATCAGGTTTTTGTTTCTAGTAAGGATGGAACCAAGATTCCAATGTTCATTGTTTCAAGAAAAGATATCATTCTAGATGGATCACATCCGACATTACTATATGGTTATGGCGGTTTCAACATTAGCCTAACACCCACTTTTACTGTGTGGCGGATTGTTCTAGCTAGAAATTTAGGTTTTGTATTCTGTATAGTAAATATTCGTGGTGGGGGCGAGTATGGCAAAGAATGGAATAAATCAGGATCTCTTTCAAAGAAACAAAATTGCTTTGATGACTTCATTGCCGCATCAGAATTCCTTATCTCTTCTGGTTATACCAATTCCGGAAGGCTATGCATTGAAGGTCGTAGCAATGGTGGACTTCTAATTGCTGCATGCATAAATCAGGTTCAGCATCTAGCACTGTTGTTTCTTTTGTATTTATATAATTTTAGTTAATAATGAATTTTCTCGCCTATCATCTACTAATTTATGTTTGTCTATATTAATTACTTGAACATTTTGCTCTGCAGCGGCCTGATCTTTTTGGTTGTGCCATTGCTCATGTTGGTGTCATGGACATGCTGCGGTTCCACAAATTCACAATAGGTTTGTCTATCGTTTTTATTACTATTATAGACCTTTTTTATTCATCATTTTTTTCTAATCTTATTGGTTAATGCCTTGCCATTATTCAGGTCATGCATGGACATCTGATTATGGTTGTTCAGATAAGAAGGATGAATTCCAATGGCTTTTTAAGTATGATTTTTTTCCTTTAATTGAGTGTGAAATTTTTGTTACTAATGCATGTGTATTTAATGGCGTTCTTTGGTTATCAAGCATCCCTTTTTGTGACTATTGTGAAATTTGTTAGTTTCTACAGATACATAAACAACACGACAAAATTAGTATAATGATCCATTTTCTCTGTCAATTCTATTAAGCTATTTCCATTTGGTATCTATGTTTGCATAGTCACATTGTGCATCAAATTCCTTTGTATGTAAGTAAATAATAGATTAGTAGACCATTTTAGGGCCACCAGGAGAAACCCTCCTCTTAACCAAGGATATAGCTTGCACTTTGCAGCTTTGATGAGTGTTAAAGCAATTGATGGCTAATTTGAAAATTTTCTTGTTTTACTGATTGATGAGGATGATTCTCTAGGTTGTCAGGAAGTTGACTCTTAATAAGACATAATGGAGAAAAATATTCATTTAGCTGACTCCATGTAGTAGGATAAAAGTTTGTTGTTGTTGTTGTACTGACTGATGAGAACTACTCTTTGGGTTGTCTAGATGTTGGTAGGCTAAATGAAAATTGGTTTATAAATTTTTGGGCAAACAAACTTTCTTCTTTTTTTTTTTACTCGTTAGGTGAAACCCATTTTTATCCCCCATCAATGCCTCCCTTCTTCTATTGTACACATAACCTTACCACAAGATTAAGAACTACAAGTAAAGCTTCTTTCATTTATGTTCTTTTCAAATTATGTATCATGTCAAGCCCACATAGTTATGTCATAATTACAAATTGATTATCATACTTTTAGCCAAGATTCTCTTTAAAGGAGTGTGTTGTCATTGCCCAAAACTTAGAACAGGAGGATTGACTAAATCCCTTGAGCGTGACATGCCGAGTGGAAGCCAAGAAGTCCTCTAGAACCATTCCTAAATAGGGTCACATGATATTGAAAGGTTGTGAAAGACTCTAGATAGGCAAAGAGTTTCCTAGAAGATTATAGATGCTCTAGAATGTTATAGGATGATGTATATATTTGGAGAGTAATCTAGGATACTCTAGAACTCCCTAGAATATTATGAAATTTTGTAAGTGTAAGAAATGATGTGGAGTATTCTAAAGAACTCAACATTCATGAATATTAGAGGGAACTTTAGATTGTTCTTAGGCATAGGGGGAGGGCTATAAATAGGATCCTTCCCTTTCATTTGGAATCAACTCCAAAAACTCTTCAAAACCCTACCAACCCCTCTTGTAAAAGTTCTCTTTTAATAGTGAAGTTTTCCCATTTACTTTCCCTCTCTCTAGCATTCTTTGCTCTCTTACTAAGCATTTTATGTTCCCCAACGGCTTTAAATTCTTGAGTAATGAATCAATAGGATATAATCGATAGGGCACAAGGCCCTTTATTAGCTAAGGCGGATTCAAATTTGTTCTTTTCGGGAAACATTCACCTTATGTCTACAAGGTACTCTTGGATGACGCAACATATGGTTGCTGAGAGCCTGAGAAAGATCCTTCGATCAGGTTAGGTCGACCAACCCCTCTGACTAAGTTGACTAGGGACCATGATGACCTGGGACGACGGAGCCATGGGATCTTGTTCGGGTTAATCGTCATTCCCCCCACCATCCCCTTCAATTGGAAGGTGGTGAATTTCTAAATTTAAATATTAAGATTCACATCTAAAGTTGCTGCTACTTTATGTTGGATACTATGTATCTATTCTAACAACTAGCCTTAATCAAAAGTTTTCTCTCATTATCTAGAGGGGTAATTAACTATAAGGGCTTGCGCCTATAAGAAACTTGAACTCATATCATAAAGGCCTCGTAAAATGAGGGCAATCTTTGGGTAGTATTTTATTTAAAACTAAATTTGTCTTTTGAAAATTACCTCGGAACTTAAACTTGTTAAAACTTTCTTTGCTGACAACTAAAAAGAAAGGGGCTGCAAAGAGGTCGAGGCGCGAATTTTCGGATCCCACATGTGGATGATATCTTCTTGACTGTGAATGATGAAAATGAGAAAGTGATTATAAGGAAATGACTTGCTAAGAAATTGATATCAAAGAACTTGGTAGATTGAAACATGTCTTAGGAATTGAAGTGGTCCATTCTAGTAGAGGAATCTTCATTTTATAATAGAAATACATTACTGATCTTCTTAAATAAACTAGTAAACGAGCTTGTAAGCCAACACTAACACTAGTAGAATCAAATCTCAAATTGGGGGAAGCTAAAGAGGATCCAAACATAAATAAGGGAGCTTATCAAAGACTTGTGGGGAAATTAATATACCTTTCCCACACCAGACCAGATTTGCCTTCGTTGTACGCTTGGTCGTCCAGTTCATGCATATTCAAAGCAAACTCACATGTAAGCAGTAGACAGAATATTGCACTGCCTCAAAGGGAATACAGGAAAGGGATTATCTTAAGAAGAGAATGTGGAATAACTCCATAAGGTTATACTGATATAAATTACACATGATCACTAGTAGATAGAAGATATACCTTATAATAGTGCTCACTCTTTGGAAGAAACCTATTTACTTGGAGTAAGAAATAGAATGTGGTGGCAAGGTCTAGTGCCAAGGCAGAGTTTAGAGCTATGGCCTTAGGAATATGTGAGCTACTATGGATTAAGATTATCCTTGAAGTTATAATAATTAAGTGGGAAGGATCCATATAGCTACAATGTGATAAAAATTCAACAAATCAATATAACTCACGATCCAAAGGAATTGATAACTATACATTTTTTAGACTAATTACCAAGATAGGAATAACAGATTCATTACTCCTAGCCATCCCTTGACCCTTTGATCCCATGCATGCTAGCATGGGGATTCATGGAAGACTCACCTGAAACACCCATCTAGATCACGCCGATCTCTTTCCAGATTTGGGTGGCTGATTTAGGAAGGATTATATTAGGGAAATTATGTATTATTCAATAATTATTTGTTTCCTTATTAAGATATATTATATAGATCTATAAAAAGAAATAACTTTGTGCAATAAAACTAAGTCTATTTCCCTCTCCAATTCTCAAAATTTAATAGATTATATTAGTAATTGGAGGTGGTGAAGTTGTTTATGTGGGGGCATATGATTCTCGTGACATTGGTACCCATTGCCCCCACTCTCGTATAGAAACAAGAGAGGAAAGTACATGGAAGGAGGGAAATGAATAATAGAAGAGGGAGTTAGAGATAGAAGAAGATGGAGAAAGAAAGAATTTGAGAGTGGCAAAGAGAGAGAGATGAGTAGAGAGTTAAAGAGAGACGGTGAATAGGAAATGGAGATAGTTGGAGATGACGAGGGAGAGAGTAAGAGATAGTGAGATGGTGATGAGAGTTAGAAATAAATGACGATGAGAGTTGGAGAGTGTCATGTTGTCGATGGCTGAGTTGTTGCTATGAGTGTAAATTTTAAAGTGATAATGAGAGAGTTAGTCGGCAGGGTCAAATGGCATTGAGTAGGCAATGTGTGCCCAAGCCATTTGCAATAGTGAAGAGTCTGCAATTTTTTGTGGGGGATGTCCTCTTCATTCCCTAGCCATAGGCATGCTAGGGTCAATTTGTAGTTTTGATGTATGAAGAGGGGATGAGTCGACAGAAGCGATGGTTTTGCAAATTTTTTTTAAAAAAATTAGGGTTGTAAGTTAACTAGTCCGCACAATGAGCAACTCAAATTTGGCTTCTTAATATTGGATGAAGTTAGTAATTAAATGAATTTGAACATTTTAAGAGACTTAAAGGCTAAATGAATGAAGCTGGAAAACTTTCGATTACAGTCCTATTTGCTCATGTCAAAGATCGCCTCTTTTTTGTTATTTTAGGTGAGAGGATTAGCAGCTGACGTTTATAATGAAGGAATGGGCAGATATGAGCAGGCCCAGGTGTGCATCCGTTAGATTTATGTGTGGGAGAAGGGATATGGTGTGCTGCAATAGATATTTAACTCATTTAGATGGGTGAAACTCCTAGATGTAGTTAAAAAAAGGGAATTAAACACTTTTTACTTGATTGGACCAAGTCATTTATTTGTTCAAGTGCACTCAAGCTTGGTTTAGATTCAGTTGAGTGAATTTGAATCCTCAATTTAAAGGCTTCAGTATAGCCGAGCTGAATAGACTTTGAGACTATAACACATGCCAGATTAATTCTTGAATGAACATATAGGCGTTAGTTCTTGTGATTGAATTAATCTTGAATTATTTCAAACAAATTTGAAAGAATTTGCAAATTCTTGAATGGAATTTGTTTGCCTAATTAGAAACTAATTTAGTGCGAGCATAATCAATGTAAATTTAAGCCAATTTACTGATAATTTTAGCATATAGAGTTGATGTTCCTCGAAGAATTTTTGGAGGTAAGCAAGGAGTATGAACTTTCGGTGATGTTTTTCGTAGTGAAAAAAAATTTAGTTATATTTATGCGTGTAGATCACTCAAATAGCATTGACTGCTAATTGCCCTGGTACTATATTAAGGTATTGAATATAATAGAACTTTGTGGAAATAATCATTTAAGAAAATTAACTCCTTTTTTTTTCTTTTTTTGCAAAACTAACTCCTTTCTATTGGAAAAATATCTTACAAAAGATGATGTGTTTTGCAAATGCAATTTGGTAAGTATGCAACCCAAATGAAAATATTTTGTATGTATTTTATTGCTTATGCATTATATTCAATGGCCTCACTCGTGTCAATCTCTGTAGAACTGCATAACCCTAAATGCTCTGAATAATTATATTGGCTTAAAACTTGCGTGATTCGACTTACAATTTGGTGATTAGCTTATAGATTGGCTAAAAACTTACATGGTTCAAATTATGGTTTGGTGATTAGCTCATGCTTAATCGTTACTCAGAAATCAAATATGAGTTTTCAGGTTGCTCAAAGCTTTGTGTTAGTTGGAAGTATATTGAACCTCCTCATTATGTCCAATTTTCTAATATATTTTTTGTTGCAGATACTCACCACTTCATAACGTGAAGAGACCATGGGAGACTTCTGATTCATCTTGTCAATATCCTCCGACCATGCTGTTGACAGCCGATCATGATGATCGTGTGGTGCCTCTGCACTCCTTAAAATTATTGGCAGTAAGTATCCATTCTTTAGAGTTGGGTTTCCTTTTCGATGTCATATTTTAATGTTTCTTAGCCAAAACTTTTCAAAAAATTCACACACCTAAGGATAAGCTTGCTGCTAAGTTTTGTATTCATGGTAACAGTTGTTTGTTCTAACTACATGATTTACTTAATGGCTTACTATGTGAATTCTCGTTTCACCTATTTTAAGAGTCCCATTTAATTAAGTATGGCTTGTTGCATTTGTGATAAGAAATACTTAGAGATCTTAAGTATTTCTATCAATAGAGATAAAATCATCGAACAATCTCACAAAATCTGAGAGAAAATCACACCAAATAGTAGTTTATATTGCAAGAAGCAAACTAACGGAAAGAAGAAATCAAAGCAAGATTCAATTGATCCTCAATTTGAGAGGAGGATCGATCTCTCCCAATCTCTAGATGATGAATCTAAAGCCCAAGACGCTAAGAAGAAGAACCCAAAAGAACTCAATAATCAAAACATAATCCTAACCCCCTAATTCTCTCATCCTACTTAAAGCATACAATTAATTAATCAAGCCAAATGACTAAGGAGCCCTTGCCGCCCCCTCCTTTCCCTCCCAAGAATTTGAATTTGAAGTTTTGGTGGACCCCACTCCTCTCCCTCTCTCTTTGTCGCCGCCCCTTTTGGAATAAACAAGGACCGATCCCCTATAGGGACCAGTTGTAATTGGACCTGTCAACCAAGGACCGGTCTAACAATTTGATACCGATTTTAATATGGGAGATATATGTTTGTCTCAACAAATACTAAGACTTTTAAAGACAATTCTTTATGAAGATTCAAAGCAATGCATTATTCATTAGAGCAAATTAAAGTAGTTTGCCACGTGATATAAAACTGATAGATCAGAAGTATCTGCATGGGACAAAATTTTAAGATAATTATTAAATTTAATATTAAATATTGAACACCATTTGATACTCCTTGGATACAAAAAAACAACAAATGAAAAATGAGAAAACTGCATAAATACTAAAAATAATGGCTGATTTTGGATTATAACTTCAATACGAAAAAATTAGATACATGTGATCTTCAATTCGAGAGGTAGATTGGCTCTCCCAAACAACTTAGACTGCACCAGGAAGTCCTCCAAAAAGAAAACTATAACAACTCCGAAATAAAATTCTTCATACAAAACATAACATAAACCCACTTGTAGCAAACAATAAACAACAAATATCAAAAGCCCTTCCCCCAATTCCCTCTCAAATTAGCCCTCAAATATGTCATCTTCAATTAGGAAACATCTTTTAATCTCCTCCAAATCAGCTCTCTTCCATTACGAAACATCTTTTAATCCCTTCCAAATTAGCCTCATAAACCTGCCATCTTTAATTAGGAAACATCTCATAATTGATCTCCTTCAAATCAGTCTTCTTTTCCCTAATTAATTCCCTCCTTAATTCCCTTCCTAACATAATGAATTATTGTTTTGTTGGGCCCCACAAGATGTGCCGAAATCTTTTTGGATTTGGTTCTAGGTTCCACCCCCTCCACTACTATTTTTAGCACGACTTGTTCGGAAAATAAAATACTTCTTTATTAATTGATCCTGGTGTTAGTATACTTGTAATCTTGTATATAGATAAGAAAAGAGCAATGGAAGAAAAATATAATAAAGAAGAATAACGTCAATAATTAGGATAAATTATTATAATAACCTATGTAGATTATTATTATTATAAATATTTAGCACATATGTATATATATATATATATATATAATATAGCTTTTATTATCATTTTTGTTTAAGTAACAACTTTCTCTTTGTGAAACCAACAAACAAACATGGTAGTTTACATGATGGACATGGTGCTCTTTTTCTAAATATCTAAGATTTTGTTTGGGGTAGTTTTTGGTCACTATGTTTTTATTACTTTCAAAAAACTTTCTATTAGAAAATAACTTTAGAAAACATTAAGAAAACTGTCCCAAAAAAAACCTAAATCTTTAGCAAGAACGCTTCATTTTTAATGCGAAAGAATAAATATTATGTTGCCACTTGACAATTACCTATATATAACTTTCTGATAATTTTTTTTTTCTCACCATATTATTTCAAATAATGAAATACTTTGTTTCCTCTAATGTCTGAAGACCATGCAATACATACTCTGCATGAGTCTGGAGAATAGTCCACAGAAGAATCCTATCATCGCTCGCATTGATCGCAAGGCTGGTCATGGAGCTGGTCGACCTACCCAAAAAATGGTTTGTATACTTGACCTCCTTCATATTGTTATGCCTCACGATTTTACTTGTGCTCTTTTTATTATGAATGACCTCTGATTTTATTATAGATTGATGAGGCTGCTGATCGATATGGCTTTGCTGCGAAGGTGATGGGAGTTTCTTGGAATGATTAGTTTTATTTGGAAGTTTATAAAGTAGTGTTGCATTGAACTGAAATTCTGGTGCGTCATCCGATTGCATTCTATCTAGTACATGAATAGTTTCTTCTTTTGAACAAAATCTGATTTCAGGCTGATGTACTCGTCAGCAAACTGCTTTCTGTTAATTATATTCGTGTGTTATATTTGCAAAGCTTAAATACTAGAAATAAACAATAAATTACTCTCGGGATGGATCTTTGAATGTCTCTGGGCAACGATGAGTCGAACTGGTATCTTGTCCGTTTACTCCCTGAAGGGCCTCATTTTCCGCTTGCTTCTTGGTCCAGCACTCAACCTGGCATTCTGCACCTTGCTGGATCGTTCTCGTGACTTACTCATGGCACAACCGGGAACAATACTCTTATATTTTGCCATTTTTTCAGGCAATGAGCCGTTCATGCTTTTTGATGTATTCGTTGCCTGCTGGCCTGTTCGAGTATTTTCCTGAGCCCCTGAGAGACAGTTTTGGTTTTTTTTGCCGGTTCCGGTGTTTTTTTGTTCACAGCTCTATTATTACTTGTATATCTTTGGAGTTGGATTTTGATTTTCTTATATTTCTCTTATGATCAATATATGTGCTAAGCCCCAAAATTTCCCAAAAAAAAAAAAAACAATAGATTTGTTTTGTCTTGTGCTTGTAGATTTTTTTTTATTTGTGTGATTACAGGGATGTATTGTGTTGACATTGAAAACACGTTGAGCCAGGAAGGCAAATGTGAGTACTATCACCAAAGATCTAGGAAGAGATGGGAATACATTATTCCTAATGATTACTTGATGAGTTCAAAGAGATCATTAGGAGAAGAGAGCGGAAGAGAATATATTGAAAATTTTTTAGTGATTCAATCGAATGACCTATTTCCACCATGAGATTAATAGAGATGATTTATTATGTTCCATAGAGGAAACGTAAGAGTGGCCCATAGCACCTAGAGAAAAAATGAGGAGAAATGTTCTCATATTTGAGCTTTAGCGAGTTGTGAGAAGAGAAGGAAAGTTGAGCTTCAAGGAAATGAAGATTGTATATGCGAAGGCGCTATAGAGAGATGCAAATGGATTACTATTCTAAGAATTTTGGATTGTCTTGAGAATGAGGGGAGTGTGCATGTTCTCACCAGAGAACTAGAATGTTTATTTCATAGTCATTACACCTATTGCACTATTGCACTGACACTTAGCTATGGTCATTGGAGAACATATAGTGCAATTGCATGATGAGGGTGTCATGGCAATGATTGTGAGGTATAGGATCACCATTAGGTTGAATATGTGACAATGCAGAAGTTATGCCTCAATTTTATCGGTTTTTGAGTAGATTTGATCATAGCATATGATGACCTAATCTAAGGCATATCAAACTTGCATGTTATGAAATCAAGGTGCATTGCGGTACTCCATATATTTGTCGTTGCATTCGAGGAAGGCTTGCAAAAGAAATGAGAGCAACGGTGAGGTTTCTTGGGCAGGGATGGCATGATTACTTGGGTTGAATGCCTTCCCAAGTTGACTAGGCATACCCTTCAGGGCATCGGAGACTGCCTCAGAATTCATCTCATCTTGATCTATTGGTTGGGTACTTGACTCGTGAGTTTGAAGTTTGTGTATATGATGTAAGTGTGACGTTGACTTAATAGCTCAAATGTCCCAAAAAAATTTTTTAGCTTTTTATTGTAATGCTCAGAATAAAGTTTTTGAAGTTGTGCAATTTATTTGAATTAAAAAAAAAAGAGTACTCTTTTGGTCTGTATTTAAGTTTGTTTGTCATATTAAACTATAATTTTCTTTGAAAATTATTTCATTGAGAAGCTCCAATTAATCATATTATATAATGTTTGGAGCTTGGCAGCGGCATGATCTGTCATGAGTAATCGTTTGTGGGCACAACAGTTATCTAAAACGAGCATTGCTCTCTCCTTCCACAGCCTCATGATTTGTTATCACATGAAAAAAGAAAATAATCATCCAAAAAATAAAAAAAAATTTGATTTCTGCAAAAGAACTGATTGATGAGCCCTTCAAACTACGAACTTTCAAAGGAACAGAGACGTCGAAAAAAATAAGATTTTTTTTTTTTTATTCGATTAGATGTCACCTTCCCTTTCTGAAACATTTGAGCGATCTTACATGTCTACAATTTAGGATTGCTGGGCAGTGACATGCTTCACCATTGCTTCTGTAGACTGCCGAGCAAAACATTTCTGCCTAAGTCGAACATACGGATAGCCGATGGCGGAGAGAATGTGCGCAGGCTTTGAAAAGGAGAAGATTTCGTACCAGACCCGATCGTTCTCATCCCACTGAACCGAAAACCTCTCTTCTCCGGCCTGTTTGATCACATCCCCAATAAAATAAAGCTTAAAATCCGACGAATGCAGAGATGGAAATAGACAAAGTGGAAATAGAGACGGAGATTCGTACAAGGAGATGGCCTTGAAGAGTACCGCTTCCGAATCCGAAGGAAGCCTTTATTCCAGCGACCGGGCGAGGCTGCACCGACGCGTTGGCGACGTAGGCGATTTGGAGAGGCATCATTACCCACGGAAGAAGCTCGTTCACGCAAACGCAGAATCTTCTCCCTTTCTCCACTGGGGTTTGTGGATCCACGAATGTCCATCTCAGCCCAAAATGTCTGCAATCTTAACTTAGACGATGCAATAGCATTTGATTGAAGAAAGGATGAAGTGAAGGATTAGGGTTTAATTGTTACCTCCAGGAGAGGATGGCAGACTTGGCTAGGGCGTAGGTGATGGGGCCAGTACCGAGGAGTACACGAGATCGGTTGATGAAGAAGCCATTTTTTGTGAGTATGTTTTGAAGGCTTTTGTCGTCGGCGGAGAGGGCGGTGGCGCCGTGGAGGGTGGAGTCGTAATTGAATTCTCCGGCGCTGGTGATGCAACCTTGTTGCTGCTCATGAGTCGGACGGCTCCAGCTCAGGAAGATCTTTCCCGCCATCGCCTATCACCTGTTCGATGGAATGCCGCTGTGGAACCGGCAGATTTTTTTTTTCTTTTTTGTGGACCAATGGGTAAGCCGGACCTCACTATTTATTTATTCAAGTCAAGAGAAGGACGCATCGACAGTCAAAAAAAAAAAATCTGAAAATTTGTCCTTAAAAAATAATTATGGACCGAAATAAATACTTAGGGAGTGTGGACGTTTTGTGCAGGTTTTTCAAATTTAAATGTAATATTGGTGTCAAATTACATTTAACGAATAATTGATTTGGTAAATAATATTTTAAATATATAATTTTTAAAATTTTATATAAGGATATTTTTCCATTAAATTTGCTACATAGCGATATTATATAAGGGTTTTGGTGTGATGTCCTACCTCTTTTTTTGTTTATTAGCTCTCTCAGCATCAACTTCGCCCAACTCCATAGAATGTTCAGTGTTTAAATCTATTTGTGATCAACAAAATCACCATATATGAACTTTAACTCTATCAAGGCCCGCAAAACCCTCTTATGCACTCATGTTCTTATGCAATACCTAAATACCAACCTTCCAATGACACTATCATGACCCATGATCTTCCAACCAATTAACTTTAACCCCTTCATATGGAAAATTATTAGGGTGTCTCTAGCTGAACTCCAAACGAATGTAAGGCGGAGCTGATTTGCTCCATTCGAACGATAAAAAAATGAGGATAAACAGTACAACGCCAATATTTGTGTGGCACTGTTCACATACGCGATTTTTCTATCTCAATGGATTTGTCGAAGAAACACTCAAAAAAGAAGAAAGACGGCTACCTTCGCAGAAGCGAGCAAAATGGAGTTTCGATTGGAGATGAATCATGATATTTTTTAGTTTCACTGTATTTTGGAGTGAAAAAATGGGATTTTCGGTTGGAGATGCCCTTACGTGAGGTATCCGGGTGCGTTTGGAGGACAATTCGAACACGCCACGTCATATGATACTCTTGTTGAAGTGTGTTTCTCCTCAAAAGGATTTGCAAATAGTGCTTTGGATAATTTGAAACTACCCGTCATCTACTCTTAAGGATATTTGACAACAAATCAACCAGATGAATTTGGGACCGAAAATAAATAAACATGTTAAACTTTATTGTTGTTAGAAGTCAAGAAAACACTAGTTTGTCAAGGAAGAACTAGACAATTATAAGTGAAGAATTAAGTTCTATCTCATTTCCTTAAATCTCTCTTCTCCCTATTTTAGAAACTACTTGTTATTTCACAATTAATGGCCCCTTTTATATAAGTGAGGGCTCTCAATTTCATTAAAAAAAAGACTATAAAAAGGTAGCTTCTCTAGCAATCCATATGCAAGGATATATGATGACTTAGCTTGATTCATTGCTCAGGGAGTTATTAAATATCTTTCATTTTGCTGTTTTGTTGTCTGCTTGCAACTAATATGCTTCCTAGTTTTTGTTTTTTTACTTTTACTCTTCATATTTCTACCATGACATCTTTCTATATAGTAGAGGTGTTTCAATTGCATAAAAATGAATTATTTGTAGGTAGATGAGGGAAGACCCAAATTTAGGCTTCATTTTGGACATCTTTTTTATTGTTTTCTAAAATATTTTTTTAGCTTCTTTAGAAAGAAATAAAAAAGTTGTCACAAATGAAGTCGTAGAAGATCTAAATTTTATTTATTTTTTAATAAAAATTATATATGAAACAAAAGCACATTCAAATTTGGCATAAATCTTTCCTTCATTGTCTTCCTGAAGACTTATAACTAAAATTTTGCATATTAAGGCTTCGTTTGGGACGGCTTTCTTGTTGCTTCTTAAAGCAGCTTTTTAGTACAAATATTTTAATTATTATACTGAAAAATTATTTTAAAAAGCAGCAAAAAAGTAGTCCCAAACGAAGCCTTAGTCTTCGTTTGGAATTGCTTTCTGAAGCAGTTTTTAAAAGAAAAAAAAATCCTAGTTTAACAAATTTTGAACTAAAAAGCTGCTTTAGAAAGTAATAAGCAAGTCATCCCAAATAAAATTTAAAATGCTATGCTCCAAAAAAATTATGCATTTAAGCTCATGCTTCATCACTTTCTTGTTGGATGAACAAATAAAAAGTATCTTCATGGAAAAGTTTGACATAATTTTCATTTTTATTAATTCACCTAAAAAATAGTCCCATATGATTTTTTGTTTGTTTGTTTGATTTGCTTTTATGTGAATTTAATATTAAAAATTCACAAACACATTGTATTAGATCTATAATTCTCATAATTCATAGAAGATCTAAAGCTCTTCACCTCAAATGTTATTTTCTTCTTGGGTTTCTTTTTCTCGCTTTAGCTTTAGGAATCTTGCTCAACGATATTTCCTTTCAGCAAGTTGTTCTTTTCTTGCAGGTTTTGAAGTGAAAATCAAGACATGAAACAATAATATTCAGTTCGCTTTAGCTTTAGCTTTAGAATAAGTTCATTTCAGCAAGTGCTTTCTTCCAATTCATAAAACATCTTGGAAAAAAGGGAGAGAATGGGAAGGAAGTTCTGTCAACAATTCTCACCTTACCTATTTGGTGCAGTATGCTTTCTGCATAATTTTGATGCTGCTATCATGAATATCTGATGGGTCTTCCATCATTCATTTTTACAATCCTGAAGTAAGTAATGTTTTTAATGATCTTGCTCACCATTTTCTTTCTACCACAATAGCCCAACATTTTTATGCATCTCATTCTTCTTTCCCTTTTAAGAGAAGTCAGTTTGAAATTAAGACTTCGTTTGGAATGGCTTTTTTATTGCTTTCTAAAATGGAGTTTTAGTACAAATTTTTTTATTTTTTATTAAAACTCCGTTTTAGAAAGCAGTAAAAAAACCGTTCCAAACAAAGCCTAAGGGATGACTTTTTAATTACTTTCAAAAGCAGCTTTCTAACATAATAATTTAATGAAAGTAGTGACAAACAATGGCAAAAAATTGTCCCCAACGAAACCTAGGTGATGATGATTTTAATTTTAATTCAATATGAAATAAGTTGCAATTAAAGATGAGAATCATTTGATCATTCAAGAAAGAACATTCAATCCACATTCAAGGAAGGGAAGAAAATGAAGAAGTGTTTTAATAGATGCGCTGAGATTACCTTTTAATTGTTTATTATTTTACTTTTATAGTTGATAAAGATGTCATGTTATGTGAAATTATTCTGTGCGGTCATCAGACTATTCGGAAGCAAATCAGGATGCACTGCGTCAACCGGTACATACCATCGACGCACAGCAAAATAGTAATGTGACGCGTTCTGATTCGCCTCCAGACGCCGTCCGGTGACCACACCGAATAATTTCTGTAGATAATGTCATCATATAATACTAGGATTGTTCTTTAAGGATATTTGACAAGATCCACATCCCCATGCTTACTAAAACATGGCACATGCCACACAGCGCGGGCAACTTCTATATAATTATCACATTCATCGTGCTTGCTTACAGGCTGGGTGAAAGAGTGCAACACTACTTTTGTAGCAGGCCACCTTCTTGATGTTTTTCCCATACCTATTTTTTTATACAATTAATATAAATATATTTTAAAAATAATAATTTATTTTGACTGTGTTAAAAATCATCATTATATTAGAAATATTTAGTATATTTATTGAATTTTGAATTAATTTTCATTTTTTGAGTACCATTTATCAATTAAATAGAAAATTTTACTAATTTTATTAATTTATTAAGCAAATTTTCTTAAAAAACAAATGAACCTATAATGACAAGAAGTTCACATGCTAATCATGGATTAGCTAATTTAATTGTTTAAAAGCTTTTAATTATTGCCAAAAAATTTAATTTGAATGCAAAATGAGTATATAGGTGAAAAGTTTGGGATAGCTCCGATGGTGCATGTAAGATTAGAGAGAACCACTTTGGATGATTTGATCATATAAAACATCGGCCTTCTAATATTCCAACTATCAGAGTAGATATATTAAACCTTAAACTTATTTTAAGAAATATGAAGACCAACCTAAAAAAAATTTATTAGAAAGTATTAGAACTTTTTAATTAGGTTTAAATGAGAATTTAACTCTTAGTATTATCATATTATAGAATATCATCATCTCCATCATTAATCAACCTTCTATAAAATAAATAATAAAAATAAAATAAAACATTTATTTTTACACCAATCTTATTTTGAAACAACATGATCAACACACCAAAGAAACAAAATCACAAAGAACAAATATATATATTTCACACATAAAAATCAAAACATATAATCATCATCATCATCAACATCAACAACATCAATACTCAAACCACAGCAACCAAAATACACAAAATAATAACCACTAATACAGAAACATAACACAAAACAAGTAAAATCATCAAATCTTCCATACAACCGGACCTCAATGACTACCAGGACTCTTCTCAGGCTCCTCCCCTGCGTTCTTATGATACCCTGGCAGCTTCTCGATTATCTTCCCCAAAAAACCCTTCTTTTCCTTCCCTTCCGTCCCCTCCACCACCTCATGTTCCTTGACATGCTCGGCGGGGACCTCAACAACCGGCAATGGCGGTGGCGGGACAGCGCCGCTCTCTTCGGCGGCTTTCTTGCCGTGTCCTGGAAGCTTTTCTTTTATCTTATCGAGGAACCCCTTCTTCTCCGCTTCCGGCGGTGGGGCAGCTTCCTCGAACACATCTACTTTCTCCACCACGACCGCCGGCGTTTCCTCAGCGGCAGCTGGTACAAACGCAGGCTCTTTCTTCTCTTCTTCCTTCTCTTTTTTCTCTCTTCCGTGCAGCTTCTCCTTCAAACCCTGCTTCTTCTTCTTAATCTTCTGCTTAATTCCTCCCTCCCCTTCAACTTCCTCTTCTTCATCGCTCTGCCAACATACAGTAATTTATGAACAAATAGAAAACCTCAAAGGATTAATAGACAAATCACTCAAAAATATCAGGCTTAAAAAAAAAGATTTTTTTACCGATGAGCTAGAAGAGCTGGAGCTGTGAGATCGGTGGAGCTTTTCAAGAAGCCCGTGGTTCTTCTCCCCTTCTTTCTTCTTGTCTTCTACCTTGTGGCCGTCCTCTATGTGAATCTTCTCGACGCCGCTGACCAGAACCTCCTCCTCCTGCTGTGGCTTTTTCTCTTCTTCTTCCTCTTTCTTCTTGTGGACGAAGTCAAACAACCCCCGATTCCTCACCTCCCCTTCGCCTCCCTCCACGTTCAAATTAGCCTGATCCTTGAACTCTTCAGCCATCGCTGAAACTAAAGACTGATTGATTAACCAAAAACTTGATTTTTATCTACAGAAAGCGTAAGAGTGATCACTATGAAGAAGAAACTGTCTGCAAACTGCAAAGTCCCTTTAAATCCTAAAAGATCGAACTCAAATGGAGATTTGAGTGATGAAGAAGAGAGTGCGCTTCTCCTCTCCTTTATATAGAGTTAACAGTACCTGCGGTTAGAGGAGGAAAATTATAAATTTTTATTTATTACTGAACATAAAGTGGGCTCATTAATATACTTATAAGCTATAAAATTGTTATTCAATGTATTCAACATGAATAAATAAGGCTATAAAATAATTCTTGGCAAGAATTTGGATTGATGCATAGAAAAAAGAAAAAAAATGAAAAAAAAATATGTTTAAAATAAATTAAAAATTTTAAAATATAGTTTTTTTTTGAAATTTGAATTAAAATAATTTTAAATTAAAGAAATTCCTAATAAATAATATTAAAGAAAAGAATTTAATATTACTGTATGCAGCCGTAAGTTACTAATTTAGAAGCTGATTAAAATTTAAGATTCGTAGATACTAGATTTTAGAAGCTGATTAAAATTTTAGTCTGATTAACTAGAGACACAGTCAAAACTTTTGATATTAAATTCTTTTATTGGAATATTTGATTTGATTTAAGTTTAATTAATGGATAGTTTTTATTTAATATAAATAAAAGAATATGATATAAATATAAATATATATTTTTTCTTTTATTTATATTTTATATTTACATTTTATTAAATTTATAAAATAATATAAATATTTAAAATTTAAAATATTTTTAATGAATTACTTAAATTAAATGTAATTGTATGTACCTCAGTAGTTTAGAAGAAAATTATAATTTTTACTAAATATTTAAAAATTAAATAATAAAATTATTTAATGATTAAATAATATTTTATTTTGCCAAATATATTTGAATGACATATTAATATAATGGAAAAATCTTGGCTTAGTAGATCTACCTAAGTAGTTTGTTTGTTTTTTTAATGATGGGTTCTAAAATTATATAATTTAAATTTTAATTGATTATTTCTTTATTTTAAAATAAAAAATAGTACTTTTATATCTTATATAATCAAAATTTGACCACCATATTTATCTAAAATTTAAATGTTAAGAATATCTATGAAGCTTTTGTATATGTGAGAATGTTTTCACAATCTCATACGTGGATTCACGCGTTACGCGAAGGCAACACGGAGGAGGGATTCTAATTCAAAATAATAAAGAAAGGAAGTGGGACCGTTCACTCCGACCGACCTCTGCGTAAAAGGACTTAAAAATTCAACTCAAAGTCGCTACTGGCTTACATGTGTTTATTTCTCCACGTGGAGACTGTACAATTGCGGTTGCCGTGAGTGGTCATTATTTAGGTGTAAAAGAACTGGTGTAAAGAGAAAGAAACGGACACCGAAAAAAGTATTTAAAGAAGAAAGCGAAAATGACGCTAAGTTGACAGAGGAGAAGTAGGGGCTTGCCGACATCCACTAATTAGATGCCACGTGTATTAAGGGCCCAGTAGGTCCCGCTCTTATTGTAATGTTAAGCTATCAAGCGTCCTTTAGATCGGCATCCAGATTCATGATAAATAATTTCATTAAATTAGAAAGCAATGCCAATTCAAATTTATAATTACTTTGGAGAAGTAATTAGGACAACTTTTTATTATTTTTAAGTAATTTTAATTATAAAATATTTTTTAACTAAAAAATTATCCCAAACGAAGAGATAATTATATATTTGAAGTTATGAATTAGTCATATAGTTTTTAATTTATTGCATATTATGTTAAAAAAAATCTTACACAACGAGATTTTCAGTTTTTTTGTGAAGCTGAATAATTTCTTAATTTTTTTATTTTAATCTCAATTTAATGGGTTCGCGAGAAAAATTAGCATTAATCTTTAACAATTTAAATAAAAATAATTAAGAAAAATATTTATTTAATTTTAAAAAGATAACGTACATCTATATTTATATTATTATTATAAAATGATTAACGAAAAATTTAAATTAAATCTTTATCTTTCAATTTGAATAAGAAATCTTAGCAGTTGATATCTATTAGCAGTTTATTTATTTTACTCTCTTTTAAGTTATAATAATTAATATTAATTTTTTATCTTTGTTGAAACCCTTCCTCTACTCGCTAACTAATTCTTCCCTTTGGAACGAAATTTCAAAACGGCTCTCTTAAATTTAATAATCCCTTGACAATTATAACATCTTTCTTAATTTCTCATTCTCTCCAATATTGAAACGGTAGAAGGTGAAAGGTTTCTCTTAACTTTATTTTCCTTTCCTCTTTATGAATCCCCCAATTCACCAGAAATTATTATGCGCGGAGTCTAGACCGGAAGAACATATTCGAACATGTGAGTATATAGACTGTTTGCATATAGTGTATTAGTGTATATACTCATAGTCTGGATGATTCTTCCCGTCTGGACACAGCACCGAATAATTTCTCCCATTTCACACCTCACATTAATCAAAGGGTCCGATTAGAATAAAAAACAGCTTTTTTTTGTTTTATTTTTCAAATCTCAATTGAAGATCTATTTTATTATTATTTTCTTCTAGAGTAATATTATATTCTTATGAAATTTAAATAAAAAAATTAAAATTATTAAATTTATTCTAAAGTAAATATAATATATAAAACATTAATTTAAATTTATACTTCATATTTTATAATAAATTTTTCTTTTATTTATCTGGCCAACATATTTGACAAAGTATTTTGAGCTAATTTTTTTATGAAACATTTATATTATATATATTAATTACAATATAATGAGTTTTTGAAATTTAAGTTTTAAAATATAAATAAAAAATATAAAAATAAATAAATCATTGTAATTTATTTATTTTAAAACAAATTCAATTTTTTAATTTTATTTTAAAAAAATATTTCATCATCCAAAATTTTCCTTTTTTCGTACCCGCTGAGCTTCATGTGGGCAATTGTCGCCTACATGTCGGCCATTACTACTATAAATATCTTAACCGAGAGTTTTTATAAGTTTAATAGGCTGTAAGGCGGACCGGGCGGTGTTTAAGTTCTCGAGAAAGGAACGTACGATGGGATGATGAGCCTTTTTTTATTTTATTTTATTTTATTCCTGAAATGGAGAAGCTGTTGATCATGACTGAACTTTTTTTTTTTTTTTTAAATATTAAAATTAAGTTTACCCAAAAAAAAAAATATTAAAATTAATGTGGGATAGAAAATTTGTGAGGATATAGAAGTAATTTTATATTTTAATTTTGGATGAGATCTGACACGTAAAAATGGCTTGCAATAATGGAGGATTGAGAAAATTGCCCTATAAAAAAATATTTAACAAGGTTGTTTTTATTATATTTCAATTATAACAAATATTTTTGTTGGTATTTTTGTAAATGAATTAAATAAAATAAAATTTTAACATGGTTTTAGCCCCAATTTTACATTGCATTGTGATGTACTAATACACTACTTAATTGGATATAATTAAAAAAAAAATTTCTTTGAGCTTTTCGCACTCTTTCTTAATGTCAACTTAAGAACCATTTCCTTCAAGCAAATTTGAGTTTAGTGCATCTTATGTTAGTTTAGCGTTGCAATTTACATTGCAGAGATTTATAATAATCAGTATATTATATGAATAAAGAACTTTTGATCCTAAGATTTTGACCTATAATTGAAGTATTACATTATATAAAAGAAAGAAATATACATCAAATCATTGTGATTTTCCCATAGCAAAATCCAACCGCGCAAATGTGTAAAGTGATCAGTGTTGACATGAATTATATATTAGGTAATTTTTTTTAACTTTTATGCATTTATGTGTTGAATTACTTATGTATATATATTTTTTCATTAAATATGAAATATATATGTACCTACTTGTTGCGTTCTGGAATATTCGCGGCGGTAGAGAGTGGCATAGTTTAGTGTTTTAGTTTTATACGAAAATCCAGCACACAAACATATAAAAGAATACGAGTATAGCATTTATAAGAGACACCAGAATTTTTACGAGGAAACTCTTGAAAATGAAAAAAACCATGAGGCCTAGCCCAGTTTGAATGAATCCACTAGTGCTCGCAATTGATTACAAATGAGGCCCTTCCTTAGGAGGAAGGTCTTCGCTCGATGTAGCAAATACACATCATATAGAGTGCATATGGTAGAAGCTGGAAGAATTAGTGTTGATATGTTCGTTTGGGAGGCAGGGCCATAGTCGATGAGCGATGTAGGTCGGAAGGACTGTAGTCGGATGACAATGGTCGGAAAGACCGTAGTCAGACGACAGAGGTCGAAAAGATCGTAGTCAGGTGACTGTGGTCGAAATGATCATATTTAGCGAAATGATTGTAGTCAGTAAGCAATGATGGTCAGAAGAACCGTAGTTGAAGATGGTCATTAGAATGACCGTAGTCGGGCGACGGAGGTCTAAAAGATCATAGTCATGTGATGGTGGTCGAAAGGACCATAGTTGACAGAAAGATCGTAGTTGACCGACATTGATGGTCGAAAGAAACATAGTTAGATAATAGTGGTTAGAAGGATCGTAGTCAGGTTGTGGAGGTTAGGAGGATCATTACTGGGCGACAGTGGTCGGAAGGACCGTAGTTGGTGGGAAGGATTATAGTCAGTGGACTGGCAGAAGTTCGATAGTGGTTGGCGGAATAACGGAAGTTTGGCGGTGGTCGACAGAGTCCGTCGGTGGTTGGGAAGAACTCCAACAGTGGTAGGCGGACGGGAAAAAGTCTGGTGATGGTCGAGAAGAACTCCAGTGGGGGTCGGCGGATGGCCGGAAGTCCGGCTGTGGTCGGCAGATGAGCGGACGTCTGGCAGTGGTCGGCGGACTTTAGAAAGTTAGTTGGGGGTTTGGAAGAACTCCGATAGTGGTCGGCGGACCGGCGGAAGTCTAACGATGTTCGGGAAGAACTCCAGTGGTCGTTGGCTGGCGGGCGAAAGTTCGACGGTGGTTAGCAGATGAGCGAAAGTCTGGCGGTGGTCGATGGACTGGCGGAAGTCCGTCGGTGGTCGGGAAGAACTTCGGCGGTGGTCGACGGATAGGAATAAGTCCAGAGATGGTCGTGACCGAACTCCAGTGGTGGTCGGCAGAAGGGAGGAAGTCCGGCGATGGTTGGCAGATAGGTAGAAGTTCGACGATGGTTGGCATACTAGCGGAAGTTTGACAGTGATTGGGAAGAACTTCGGCGGAGGTAGAAGAATAGGGGGTATAATAGTTTTTTGAGAGTGGCATGACTTGAAAATAAGTGAAGGGTCAAGGTCAAAATGAAAGTGGTTTGAATGGATGATCGATACGATCCCCATGATCATTGATCGTTTATTAATCATTTGTATGTCTTAATGATATCATAATTTGGTGATCTTAGGCTCCTTGGATTTGTCTCGTCGAGCCGCTCGATTTGACTATAAGAATGTCACGTTTGGTAATTCAAATTGTGGTTTGAACCTTCCAAATGCGCTTTGAGTCTTTGATTTGGACTCATTTGGGCTCAGATTGAGTAGAATTTGGTGTCGTTGGGTTTGTATTTCCGAGACATTTAGTTCGACTATAATTTTACCGAATTCAAAGTTTGGATGATCCCAAATTTAATTTCGGAAGCTTTCAACTTCATCTTTCCTTGAGATTCGTGCCAGATCAAGATAAATTTTTGATGACATACCACTACTATATTTTTCTACTATGGAAAGCTCTAATTTTCACCCAATTATTTTCGTCATGGCTGCAATGAATTTATAATGTTTTGAACTCATTTTTTTGTACTTTTTTGTTTCAACTTATTTTTTTTCATGCCAGGCTTAGAAGATGGACTAACTACTCAAAGGATCCTTTTGCTATGATCTTTAATATTTTTAGTTGTATGATTTGCAGTCATGCATGTACTATTCATTGTACTTTTCTTTCAATTGTATTTAGTGGTTGTATGGAGGAAGTTTAGTTCTATTTGTCATTGTTGAACCTCTGTACAATATGCATGATTTGCGTCTCATTCATATTGATTTGAGGCAGTACAACATTCTTGTTGTTTCTCAAGAGCATGTAAAAAATGTTTGATCACAGGTTATCCTTTTTGTCATACCTAAATTATATAATTATTTATTATTTGTTAAATGTTAAATTCTACACTTAATAAATCTTGATTTGCTCATTTCTTTGCATAAACTTTTAAAATTTTAATTTCATTTTATTGGCTCAATTTCCCAGTAACAATATGAGATTACCCAAGTAAAGTGTTGTAAATGTAATTGATTTTATAATAGCTAGGATCACACTTATATTGTATCAACGAGACACTACATGGCTCCTGAAGTTATATTATGTTTGTTCATGACTACTATGATCATATTCATCCTCTTATGTTATTGCTTATGTTATTTGGTTATATAACTCTGACGCTTGAAATAGGGCTTGGATGGAGTTATATAACTCTTCTCGTGCAAATATCAAGAATTTCTTTTTTAAGGAAGTTCCAAAATCCATAATGCATTATAGTTTGACGTATATTTTAATATCATATTATTCTTGACTTGTAGATAATCAATATCTAGCTTCAATCCATCAGGCAAATTAATGTGAATTGAACTTGTGATCCTTAGACCAAGGATGGCTATTTATTTGTCAAAAAATGCAGGGTATTGGTAATGGCTTACCGTTTGGAGCAATAGTCACGACTCTTAAGATAGCTCAAGTGATGTCTTAAAGGATACAATTCAATACATTTGGTGGGAATCCTGTGTGTTCTGTTGGTGGACATGCGGTGCTTAAGGTTCTTGACAAGGAGAATCATCAAACACATTGTGCAAATGTGGGGTCTCACCTAATTGTACTATTGAAAGAGCTTCAACATAAGCATGAAAGTGAGATTTTCTGCCTCATATTTGTTTATTGTACATTACGAAACATATTCAATAAACCTATATGATCTATATATAGAAAGGTCTTGCAAATTCTATGGCTTTTATGTGGATAAAATATTACACTATTCATTTCATGTTAGATTTTGATTCCTAAATACAGTGATGAGTTAAGAGAAGCATGGTCATACATTCTTTTTTATTGATTTTTAGTCCAAACACCTTTAGGAGACTTTGGGTTCCTACTTTTACATTTCATAATATACAATAATGAAGTTAGATATGTTTACTTTATCATATTGCAGTTATTTTCATGATATTTGCTCTTATTAAATTCAAATACTCTTTTGCTGGTTGTCTATAAGATTAATTTCATTTTGCATGACTAATAATTTATCAGAGATTCACTAACATTTAAATATAATTTGTTCATCAAATGATCAGAGTTCAAAAAAATTATCACTCACACTCCATGATTCCATGTCATACAATTGCCTTATTGAGCAATGTACACATCGCAGTCAGTGGAGATGTACAGGCAAGGGACTAATGCTTGGTGTGAAACTTGACAAAGCTCTCCAAAGTAGACTTTGATGTTTCCACCTCTTTCTCTTATTATCTCATGTTCCTATCAAATACAAATTGATTTCAGTTCTTGCTTGAATTGGGTTGTGTATTGTTATAATAATAAAGTTTAGGTTGTGATGATATGTTTTCAGTTCATGCTCTTATCAACTATCAATTATAAGAAGTATGTGCACATAATAATACCATCACATTTAGGCTTTCACACTACATTTAAAAATGATATAATATATATATATATTTAAAGAATGATAATATTATTAAAATATTTATTATTATTGTAAATAATTACAGCTTGAATTATGAGATATATAATAAAATTTAAATTAATCTTAAATAAAAATTATATGAGGATATTTGCCACAATTTTTTTTAATGATTTAAAGGTCTAGCTGGCACCCGCAGTAAAAATTTTTTGCCGAGCTGTTTTTTTGCCAACCGGAGTCTCAGGACGCAGATCCTTCACAAAACCGCGCATTCATTTCGCATACAACCGCGGCACCCATGGCAACCGCTGGTCACGGCATCAACGTCGTCGGAGAATGGCAGAACTTCGGCGACGAAAGGCCTTTTCTCGGTTATCTTTCTTCTACTTGGTTTATGCAGCGAGGTGATCATCGCGGGGAGAATGGTCCTGTTTTTCTCGGACGCTGATTTTAGTTTGGAAATTCGAACTCAGGGTATAGACCTAGTATTCTGCTTCTATTATTTCCCTTTTTTTATGTGCTAATGATGAACATTTCTAGCTTATTCGAGCCGTTGTTGGCATTTCTAATTTTGTTGTAACAGCTATTGTTGTATTTTGACTTTCTGTAATCTTTTAACCTATTGTTAGATGGAATATTGTCTGTGTTCAAGAATCAAATCCTTGAATCTTCTGCAATCTGCTTGTCATTTCTACTTCTTGTTCCATTGTTAATTTTCAGGTGTAGTATAACATACGTGCTGCTAACCGGGCTTACATTAGTTCAGCATCTCTTCACAGCTTGCTCTACCCCCGGCCCCGGGTAGTGGGTTCTGAGTTTTGAACTGATATTATTTAATTGCTTTTGCCTGGATAGATATTTGAATATTTGCTTTCTTTCGGTGGGTTCTCTTCGGTTCTTTGCTTGATACTAGGTATCGTTGATGCATTGAGAGCTTCCAGTTTCGCATGCCAAATATACAAAATCATAAAGTAAGACCACTTTTTTAACAGTTATCCAGATTCTTTCGAGTAAGGGTGAATGCTAATTTATGGAAATGCCTTCAACTTGTAGTTGCGCAATATAAAAACCATTCTTCTTGTTGCGTCTTGGAATATTCGTGGCGGTAGAGAAATATGAAGTTTAACGTCTTAGCATTGCACAAAGATCCAACATGTAATCAGATAAAAGAGAATGTTTAGCGTTCATAAGAGACCAAAATTTTTACGTGGAAACCCCTAAAAAGGAGAAAAACCACGGGGCTTGGCCCAGTTTGAAGGAATCTACTAGTATTTGCAGTTGATTACAAATGAGGCCCTTCCTAGGGAGAAGGCCTTGGCCTGATGTCACAAATGTACATCATATAGAGTGCATTACATGGTGGGAGTTACAATATAGACATGTTTGTTTGGTTGGCACGACCATAGTTGATAGGATAGAGGTCAGAAAGATCGTTGTCTGGTGATGGAGGTCGGAAGGACCATAATAAGTGATGGAGGTTGGAAGGACCGTAGTCGGCGGGAGAGAGAGGTCTGAAAGATCGTAGTTGGTAGGAGACCAGGGTCAGAAAGACCGTAGTTGGCAGGATACCGAGGTTAGAAAGACCGTTGTCTGGTGATGGAGGTCGAAAGGACCATAGTAGGCGACGGAGGTCGGAAGGACTGTAGTCAGTAGGATACAAGGGTTAGAAAGACCGTTGTATGGTGATGGAGGTTGGAAGGACTATAGTCAGCAGGAGACAGGGGTTCGAAAGACCGCAGTTGGCAGGAGACCGGGGTCAGAAAGACCGTAGTAGTAGAGTGATCCTTCAATAGAACTCCAGGCATAAGGCAGTGGTCTGACAGAAGTTCAGGCCTCAGGTGGTGGTTTGGCGGAAGTTCACGCCTCAGGTGGTGGTTCGGCAGAAGTCCAGGCGTCACGTGATGGTCCGGGAGAAGTTTGGGCCTCAGGTGGTGGTCCGACAGAAATTTGGGCGTCAGGTGGTGGTCTGACAGAACTCTGGGGGCGTCAGGTGGTGGTCCAGTAGAACTAAGGGCTTCACGTGGTGGTTTGGCAGAGCTCGGGGCCTCAAGTGGTGGTCCGGCGGAGCTTAGGGCTTCAAGTTGTGGTTCGGCGGAACTTAGGGCCTCAAGTGGTGGTTTGACGAAACTCAAGGCCTCAAGTAGTGGTTCGGCGGAGCTTAAGGCCTCAAGTGGTGGTCCGGCTGAGCAACGACGTCATGAGGTGGTCCGGCGGAACTCAGGCGGTGGTCGAGGAGGAGCTTCTTCCTTCTCGTCTCTTCTTCTTCTCTTGCTCTGGTCCCCCTTTCAAGAGAAATAATGTGGTCTATTTATAGATTTCTGGAGTGGCATGACCCGTAAATAGGTGAGAGATCAAGGGTAAATGGGAAGTGGTTGGATGGACGGCCGATGTTGAATCCCTTGATCATAGATCGTTTGATGGACATTTGAATGTCTTAGTGATGTCGAAATTTGGTGATCTTGGGCTTGTTGGATTTGTCTCGTCGAGCCGCTCTATTCGACTATAAGCATGTCATGTTTGGAAACCGTTTGGTAATCCAAATTGTGGTTCGAACCTTTCAACAGTGCTTCTAACCCTTGATTTGGATGGACGCTTTTGGGCTCATATTGGGTTGGCTTTGGTGTCGTTGGGTTCGTATTCTCGAGACGCTCAGTTCGACTATTAGTTTGCCAAAATCGGAGTTCAGATGGTCCCAATTTTAATTTCGGAAGTTTCCAACTTGATTTTGCATCGAGATTTGTGCTCGATCAAGATAATTTTTTGATGACATATCACTTCTAAAAGGTATTGTTCGCTTTGGCCTAACTCATCTCGTACCAACCTGAAGCTCAAACTTTTACGCTTTGGCCTAACTCATATCACTTTGATGACATATCACTTCTAAAAGGTATTGTTCGCTTTGGCCTAACTCATCTCGTACCAACCTGAAGCTCAAACTTTTATGCTTTGTCATAGAACTATTCAAGAGGTCACTCATCCTAAGAGTGCTTATTACAAACACTCTTAATTGTAAAGTTCTCATAAGAAATTCACCCATATTAGCATATATATTATAGTCAAACTCTTTTTATATAACTCAATCCTTTCCTCTTTTGATATGGGATTAAGGTTATTTTTATTCCCCTTTTTAGGTTTTCCGTCATTTGAGTGTTGTCCAACATCTTCATATTGAATATCTTCTTCATCAAGAACACTTTGTGGCTTCTCATACATCTTTGTCAGTGGGACCATGAAATCGACTGTAATCTTCTCATTTACATTGTTGAATGCAACATATGAGGAAAGTGAAGGTCGTATCAAACCTAGTGCAGTCTGGTCAAGAACCTTTCATTCCTCCATAGTCATGGAATCCAGCTTTTTGGCGATTCCCTCAAACGACAAATACAACTTCTTTTGATACAACAAATCTTCAATTTGCATCCTCTAGAATGCGAAGTTAGAACTGTTGAACTTCTCAATGTTGTACCTTGCTTCATCCGCTTCGTCCACCATCACTCCCACTCGAACTAAAGATCCTTGTCTTTGATAGCAATTGTTGGGGATGAACAGGAGTAAACACCAGAATGATGAAATAAGCAAGAAAGTAAAAGCAGTGAAAAAATAAATGACATCAAGATTTAATGTGAAAAAATTCAAAATATGGAAAAAACCACGGAGCTACACCACACCAAGAAATCTACTATGAAAATTGTGAGAAATATGTACAAATTCTCGTCTCTCTCAATCTCTCCTTTCTTTTCTTCTCACATGCACGATTCTTAATGTCTAACCAAATAAAATACAAGAGAATGCCAAGTAAAAATAACTCCAAGGGACACAACCCTTCAGAAAAATGAGAAGGAAAATTGTCCATTCCGTCCCAAACAATGCCTTTATTTATTGACATTTGAGACATTTACTGACAAAATCAGCAACATCTTTATGAAGACCAGGCTAGAAAAAAATTATCAGCAACATCTTTATGAAGGCCAGGCTAGAAAAAATTGGCGGAGAGTCGTTTAATTGTTTTTAGGGTGCCACATGGCCGACCAGTGGTGTAGAGTGAAATTCAGCGAGTAATTGATTCTTTGTAAATTTTTCCCTTATAATAAAGAATGTTATTCCGAGTTTGATATTCTTGTTGAGATAAAGCACATTTCTGTAATTTCGAAATAAGATGAATCATATCAGGTGAAGTGGTGTTTTCATTTTTTAATGCATTTATAAAAGATAATGAGAAAAATTTGAATAGTGTAAATAAAGAAGTGTGATCATGTGGAATAGTGTTGTGTTATATGGTTGACGAGATAATGAATCTGCAATAGTGTTTGTCTTGCTCGATTTGTATTCAATACGGAAGTTAAAGCCTAACATTTGTAGAGGTAATATTATTGTTCAGGAGTTTTAATTTTTTGTCTTTGTAGTTCACGAAGGCTTTTTGATGTGAAACAACATGCGGTGAATTGCGAATTGCACTTAGGAAATTAATAGAAGTAATGATTCAAAACTTGCTTCCAAAACTCTTTGCTTACTCAAGTTGAGTTCGAGAATTAGACGATGATAAATTAAGTAATGACAAGAAATCGCATTTAGAGATTAGAAGACTTTCAAAATAACATAAATAATTCTAGTAGTGCAAATAGCTAAGACTAACAAAGCCCCAAATTTAAGATTTAGATCCTTCACCTTAAGATCCGTCACTCATATTTAAAGTAGTGGCTAGCGGAAGAGAACCGTAAGTAGACTTAGCAACGCCACTAAGAGGCAAGTGATCTTGAGAGGACTTGTCGCCGGGAAGGGAGCCGGGTTCGGAGGAGCGGGTGGACGGCCTTCAATGATCCACGTGTAGACGGAGAAGTGGTCGTCGATGGACTCCACTAGTGCTGGTAGGATCCGATCCAAGTATTCTTCGACGGTGTCGTCAAAATCGAAGCCAACGTCGAAAAAGGGTGATTTGAGGATGTCGACTCTTCCTTGGTTATCGTACTCAAATCCGAAGTTCCACTCGGGTTCCTCCATGCATTCTTGAAGAGGAGAGTGGGTGGTCGCCGCAAGACGTGCTCAAATGAAGAGGAGAAGTGGATCGGGAGCTCGGGGAAGAAACGTTCAAACTTTGGCGGGCTAGAGGGGTTCGGCCAAGGTGGGGATCCAAGTATGGGGTGTAGGAATTTCTGCAGTAAATACAGTTTTTGGAAGGTTTAATGGGGTGGATTTAATTTGAAAATCAAATTAAATCAAGGAGGAAGAAGGGGCGGTCAAGAGAGGGAATTTGGGACTAATTTTGTGGAGTTAATAGGGTGATTAGGAGAGAGAGAGGGCTCAATGAAGGGGCCGGCCAAGAGAGAGAAGAGGGAGGGGTTTAGTTTAAGCAAGTGGGGACCACAAAGATTAATTTCAGAATTTAAACCAAAATCTGAATTTAAAATTTCAATTTGAAAAATAAAGGAGGTTCCTAAATTAGAGCAATCAATTGGATTGGATTTGAATTTCAAATTAAGGGAGCAATTTAGGGAACATTAATGGCCAATGAAACCCAAACGTTTCAGAATTTTGAAATCTGAAATAGGAGGGAAATAGGGGGTGGCGGTGGCAAGGAGGGAGGGGCCGGTGGGCTGGAGTGGCCGGCGGCTGCTGGGTGGAGGTTGGGCCGGTGGGAGGAAGATCTGGCTGGGGCCGGTGGGAGGGAGATCTGGCTGGGACGGGCTGGCCAGTGAAGCCGGCGGCTTGGCTGGAACCCAAGGGGCGGCGGCACTAGGATGGAGGGAGGGAAATTTGAAGAAATATGAGAATTTCTTCCAACGATTTCCTTGCCTCAAATTTCTTTTCAACTTCACCTTCACACCACAAGCATGGATTAAATCTAGAACTCACGGAGAGATCTAGTTCTCCCTTTGAACTCACTAAGAGATCAAAGGAAAATGCACTCACAAAGAGAACAAAGGAGGATAATTTTCATTCAATCCAAAAAACTAACTCATTCCAATACATGATGCCTCATATAAGGAGGTCCAAAAATAAAAACTGAAAAGACAGAAATGCCCTCTGGGCTACATAAGCAAAACAATGCCCTCAGGGGCAAACTCGGAAAACTAAAAGTACAAATGAAATAAGCTGTAAATAAATCAGAAATAGATGCTCTGGATCGTAGCCGTCGATCTGCGTCGCCGGCGATGATACACGTGTCGAAATCTAATGTCCCCATCACTTTTATGATCGGTTCGTTTTATAAATTTCATACCTAAGAGATATTTGCACCATTTACCGACGGCTTTCGAAATAGCATATATTTTATTTATATAAGTAGATGTTTGTGATAAATGATGCCCTAGTTTCTTACCAAAGAGAAAGGATGGTTGTTTTGTAATAAGACCACTTAAGCCAAAATTTGAAGCATCCGTGTCAATAATAATGATTTACTGAAATCGGGTAAGATTAATATTGATGGTGATGTTAGTGCAAGTTTTAGTTTATTAAAAGCCTCGGAGGTCTGGATTTAAAGCATTTGTTTTTAGAAGGTTAGTTAATAGGTCGACAATGGGACGATGATAATATCCCATTAAGCCTAAAAGGATAGAACATGCCGTAAAGATGAAGGAATAAGCCAATTAATCATTTCCTTAATTTTATCTAAATTTGCCTGAATAGTTCCAGCTTGAGATAATATGACCCAAGTATTCAATGGATAATTGACAGAATTTGTATTTATTGAACTTAAGAAATGAATTATGTGTAGCGAAGCCTTGAAAAACAAGGCAAAGATGATCATAATAGAGATCTATGGTGGAGCTATATATGAGGATATCATAAAAAAAATATAATGACAAACTTGTAAAGATAAGAAAAAAAAAAACTTTGTTCATTAGTGATTGAAAAGTAGTTGGTGCATTAGTTAAGCCAAAAGACATAACTAAAAATTCAAAATGACCGTCATGTGAACGAAAAGCTGTTTTATGAATGTCCTTTGGATTCATGCATACTTGATGGTATCTTTAACAGAGATCAAGCTTGGAAAAAGTGATGCATTATGTAATTCGTCTAAAAGTTCGTCCACATTTGGAATTGAAAATTTATCTTTAATAGTTGAAGTATTATGGGCGCATTAATTGGAGTAATGATTCCGTCAGGTTACCGAATGCATTCGGAAACCAATAACAAAATGCCACGTCACTAAAGTGCTCGGTATTGTGCTCGGTACACTCGGTATGCTCGGTATTTTTACTGGACGCAATAAAAATTCCATTAATTGACACAAAAGCATCAAGTACCATTGCGTTTTTTGACAAGTAGTACATAACTTGAAAAAGGAGTATGGTTGTGACGGATAAGACTTGCTTGTAATATTTTTCTAAGTGTTCCATTGCATCTTTCTGGGAATGAGGGTATCGATATGGCCGAACATTGGTTTGGATAGAGGTGGAAAATTAACCCATTGGTTGTTTGAAAGATATATTTAAAATTCCATAGTAAACGGGAAATAGAATGTGGTAAATTAGTGGTGATATTGCAAAGTGTATGCAGGGATTGGACAACCTATTCATTAGTATCCACAATGGAAAGACTATTCAAAAGTAAAAACAGAAATTTTCCATTTTATTTAACCTGGCATTAAGTCTCCTGCATGACACTTTCTCAAAGTTTCAGACATTTTACTTTCATAAATACAATATCTTGAAGAATGTTGACCACTCTCTCTTCTTTTATGACAAATTCATGAGTTTTCTGTGAAATTTTGGTGCCCTTTGTGAAGATTAGGGCCCTTGATGAATGATGAGGTTTTGTTTTCTGAAAGTTTGTAACGATATCATGACCCACCAAAAGCACCCCATCATCACCTACAACAGCTATTTAAAGAAAATTCTCCCAAATTTACCTTTAGCTTTATTGATAAGACCAAGAATCTAATTTTTTTCTAGTGGCGAAAAATCTCCTCTGGCTGAATATGATTTTCCCTTAATATAATCTTTCTCTGATTAAAAAAAGCAAGGGTTCTCTTTTTTAAATTATGGGTACTAATCTAATTATTTCGATATTGTAATTTCTTAGGATCTAGTTTATTACTATTTTTCCAAAAAAAGTAGCAATTGTCTAAAACTTTTTTGACAGCCACTACGCTCAAAGCATTGCCATGATTGTGACAAGTGTGTCCTTCAATTTGATCATCGCTTCCATTGGCTTGGTACATACATGGCAAGGGAAATCATTGCCGAGTTTGGTAAGTTTGTTTTATATTTATATTTTTGTCTCAATTAAATGAAATTTTAGAAATGTTATTAATCTAAATTATATTTACCATTGTTTTACTTTCCGTGCTCTATACATTCCTGGGAGGAATTTTTTATGAAGCTCAATAGATCATATGGTGTCATAAATTGGTTTGTTATCTGTTAGATCGGTTCAGGGACCAGTCTAGCCGGTCCATATGGGACTGGCCCGCATATAACAGAGGCGGAACTCCGCTTCTTTGGGTGTTCCGCTCTCTACATGGGGCCCAACATGCAGGATTTAAGTGTGATTAAGGTGGTTTAGGAGGGAAATTTCAAAGGAGGGGTTATTTAGATATTTTCTTTAGGATTGTTTGTTTTAAGTAAAATGTTTTCCTAGGGTTTGGGCATCGAGTATTTTTCTGAATTTAGTTGTTCTTCACTGTTTTGGGCTCTAGTGGCGTCTAGAGATTTTGGAGAGCCGGATCCTCCTCTTCAATTGAGGATCCATTGTATCTTGTTTGTTTTCTTATGTATTTCATCAATTAAAGGTTTCTCAAGTGTTTGACCACAAGTTTCTTCTCTACTACTATTTGCAATTTGCTGAAATTCCAATTTAAACCAATTTTTTTTTTCTTCTATTTTTTACAAGTGTTTACTATCAGAATCCAGCTCCTCTCTGAATGTATTGTGCTATTTAGCTTAATTAGAGCATTGATCTTTAAGATTCACGATATCTGTGTGTGGATTTGTATGTAAGATCACTTAATGATATATTGGCTTATGAAAATTTTCATTTTGTGTTTGTTATCATCATGCTTACAGCCACCATTGTATCATTTCTTGGTGCTGCCGAAGGCATCGAAGTTGATTTCATTTAGATTATTAGTTCTTAATACTCATTTTTGAATTTTTGTTCTTTTTATAATGAGAAAACCTAAATTCACAAATATTTAATTATTGAAGAACTTTTGAACAACGTGGATTCTCTCCTTAAATCATCGACTATTTTTACTTCCATAATTATTACTTATGACCAAACTAGTAGGGTAAAAGCTAACGATCAGATTTTGCATTCTTGTGTGCAAAACTCTTTGAAAAGGACTTCAGCGTTTTGCAAAACTCTTTGTTTCTATTACTATCCTCCATGATTACCTATGATGTAGTCTCAAGTTACTATCTGGGCAGTATGGCTTTCAATTGACTTTTATCTCAGCGTTTCATCTTCTTCTCTTCATCCCCTAATCTACTTCAATCAAGTTAAGTTTTCAGTCCTTTTTCTATCCATTTTATCTATTTACCATGCCTTACAGAGCATGCATGATAGACTCAAATTTGAAACCTTAACCTAGAGAATGGAGAGCATATCATTTGAGCTAGAGCTCGTTTATTTGATATAATGCACTGACATTTTTCGTCAAAGAGGTATGTAGTGTTTGATACATATCGGATATGACATGCGTCCGACACACCTCCGACACGCGTCGAACACGCCGATTGTGACTAGGGTTTCACAACACTGAATGCCATCTAAATATCGATGTCTAACACCGCTACAGTGTCAACATTTCAAAACTATATATCTATCTCAAGTTTGATATTGTCTTGAATTTGACGTTCGATGTCAACAATTTCTACACTCACAATTTGACCCTTGTGCCTTCTCAATATCTTATCTTTGACCGATGCTTCTCAACATCAACGATTGGTGTCCATTGCATAACATTGATGTTTGACTCTCGACAACATTTTCGTCTCCCCTTTCAATGCCTGACACACGATATTGACGCTCGATTCTTGACATTCTAATATTAATCATTTTAAAAACAAATCTTAGTTTAGTGACTTATTATTTCTCAATTATTTTTCATATTCTCTTGATTTTTTATACATTATTTTTAAGATATGAAAATTATAATATTGCATCCAACCCATATATATTTTCAATAATTTGCTTGTCTAGTACCCGTGTTGTGTAATGTCTATATTGTCGTGTTCATACCTGGGCATCATAGTTGATTTGTCTAATAAGTTCAAACGGACATCATCTATGCAAAAAGAATTATTTATTCTAATTAACATCAACCATCCTTTGAAGTCGGCTATACTATCCCATAACCTGTTCTGTCATAATTTAAGAGTTCGGAGCAATTCTTCTATTTTTCATGCTTATTTGGAAATTTAAAGGACTCAAATTTCTGTGAAGTAGAGCTGATGTCTTAATTTACATCCGTTATTTTAAAATGGAACTAAACTTTGATGTAATTAATTTTATGGTACCATTTTCAGCATTGGCCCTGTTCCTTATCTTGTGTTCATGTTTCTTCATTTCCATCTCCATTATTTAAAAAAAAAAAAAAAAAAAAAACGTTTTTATAGTTTCAAGCAACATAATGAGCCTTAACTCAAACCAGCACACTTGGAACTTTTTCGATTGAAATGTTTCTGCTGCTCTAGAATTTTTTTCCGTCAATTCAGTTTTTTTGTTTTTGTTTTCAATCCAGACCTCCATACTAATAATGCACTATTGCCTTCTTATGAAGCTATCTTGCTCTGGAATAATAAGACTATATTATGAATTCCATAGGAGGTAATGCATCTCTTATCTGTAGAGTATTCTTCGACATCCTGTAAATATGCATATATCCATTAGTATTACATCCATGTCTACTTCTGAAGACATTTTAAGGTATTCCTGAAAAGGTTAATCCTTTCAGTAGATAACTTTGCAAACATTGTTGGGGAAGTAAACTATTCTGCGAACACAAATAAGAAAAAAACAAATACAACAAAAAAAGAATATCAGGATTTAACATGGAAAAACTCAAAAAACAGAAAAAAAAACACGGAGCCACACAATACTAAAAAATTCACTATGAAAATTTGGGAGAAATTTGCATAAATCTCTTCCTCTATCACTCTCGCATTGTCTCTTTTTACCCTTTGTTTGTTCTCATGATCAAACAAAGAGAAAACATATTAAAACCACTAAGGGGCATAACAGTTAATGAAAAATGAGAAAGAAAATTGACATCTTGTCTCACAACGCCACGACGCCAAATGAGAATTATGACGCTTAATTCTTTGTCTCTTGTCTGCCTGATAATGCCGCAATGCCAAGGTCTGGATAGCCCAATGCTCCCTAGCAATGCCAACATTTGGAGCACTGTGGCACTCCGCTCTATGTCTGTCTCCAAGAAAGCTATATAGTGTCGTAATGCTTAGGTACACAACGTTGCAGCAACCTCCGGTGAGTTTGACCGATGAAATTGAGGATTAAGACAGCAGTATGATATGATTGATCAGCACAATCGGATTCCATGCAAAACTAAACATATGTACTTATTTTTCATATCTAGAGAGTGTTTTTTACCCAAAACTTCCACTTTTTGCGTGAGAAATTGAAGCCAGAAGTGGACCATACGTCAAGTTGGACATTCTTAGTTCTTGTTGCTGATGCATAGCTTAATAAGTTGGATTATATTTCGGCCTAAATGTTTTTATAGAAGAAAATCATTTGCATCGTCTAGACAAGGTGAAGCATACATGTAAACTTTCAAAAGTCGAGCTTAACTCGAAATTGCCCAACTATAAATGAGCTCGAGCAGGGTCGCGAGTCTCGACATGATTTTTTAAATATAATTAATTATTTTAAATATTTAATATTCTGCAATATTATTAAGCAGTGCATCTTTTCATATTAAGAAAAGATTTAACTTATTTTCTTATTCTGTCTACTGTAGTAATTTATCGGCCTTAAAGTAATGAATCTTATTTACTTAATTAACATTACATGAATTTATTATTAATCATTTAAAATAATTTTGACAATAATTACTTAATTCAAATGTTTATAATACCTTTAAATTAATTCTACGTACCTCTTTGAGTCTTACAAATCTCCCATCCTTAATAGAATTTCGTCCCCGAAATTCAACTTTTCATAATTCTTTAAACAATTGAGGAAACTTTTGTTTCAAATCATCCTCTCTTTCCCTTGTAGCTTGCCTTTCATACATGTGCTTCCATTTCACTTTTACAAAGGGAATCATTCTGCTTTTCATTTATGAACATCTTTATCCAAAATCAATTTCAGGTTCTTCAATGTAATTCAAATCTTTTTGAATTTCAATATTTTCCTGAGAAATTCTTTGGCTCTCATCTGTAACCCACTTTCTGAGCATTGAGACAAAAAATATTGTGGATATCAGACATATCTATAGGTAGTGCCAACTTGTAAGCCATTGGTCCTATTCTTTCAATAATCTCAAATGACCCAATAAATCTAGGACTGAGTTTCACCTTGGCCAAATCTAGTCACCCACTTCATTGATCTCACTTTCAAAATACAAAATCTCCCACTTCAAATTCTATCATTTTATACTTTGAATCATAATATTTCTGTTGGCGGGTCTTGAACTGCCTTTAATTTGTCTCTAATGAGTCTGACCTTCTCAATAGCTTGGTCTACCAACTGTGGATCTAACATTTGCATTTCCCCTGCTTCAAACCAGCTTAAGGGAATTCTGCATTTTTTTTTACCATATAAAGCTTCATAGGAAGTCATCTTGATACTGGATTGGTAGCTATTATTATAAGTGAATTCTATTAATGAAATGTGATTCTCTCGGCTACCACCAAAATCCAGAATACACTTTCTTAACAAATCATACAACACTTGAATCAGCCTTTCTGATTGACCATTTGTTTGTGGATGAAATGTA